CCTCCAAACATAACGATGGTCATTATTGCCAAACAGTTCTATTTTTGTTTAATCAGACCAGAGCACATTTCTCCAGAGAGTACGATCTTTGTCCCCATGTGCAGTTTCAAACCATAGTCTGGCTTTTTTATGGCGATTTTGGAGCAGTGGCGTCTTCCTTGCTGAGCGGCCTTTCAGTTTATGTCGATATAGGACTTGTTTTACTGTGGATATAGATACTTTTGTACCTGTTTCCTCCAGCATCTTCACAAGGTCCTTTGCTGTTGTTCTGGGATTGATTTGTACTTTTCGCACCAAAGTATGTTAATCTCTAGGAGACAGAACGTGTTTCCTTCCTGAGCGGTATGACGGCTGCATGGTCCCATGGTGTTTATACTTGCATACTATTGTTTGTACAGATGAACGTGGTACCTTCAGGCGTTTGGAAATTGCTCCCAAGGATGAACCAGACTTGTGGAGGTCTACAATTTTTTTTCTGAGGTCTTGGCTGATTTCTTTTGATTTTCCCATAATGTCAAGCAAAGAGGCAATGATTTTGAAGGTAGGCCTTGAAATACATCCACAGGTACACCTCCAATTGACTCAAATGATGTCAATTAGCTTATCAGAAGCTTCTAAAGCCATGACATCATTTTCTGGAATTTTGCAAGCTGTTTAAAGGCACAGTCAACTTAGTGTATGTAAACCACTGGAATTGTGATACAGTGAATTATAAGTCAGTTCTACCTAATTTCTACCAGCATGTTAAATGTGCAACCAGAGGAAAAAAAAACTCCACCACCTTTACTCCACACACAGAGACGCATACAAATCTCTCCCTCGCCATCCATTTGGCAAATCTGACCATAACTCTATCCTCCTGATTCCTGCTTATAATCAAAAACTAAAGCAGGAAGCACCAGTGACTCGGTTAATAAAAAAGTGGTCAGATGACGCAGATGCTAAGCTACAGGACTGTTTTGCTAGCACAGACTGGAACATGTTCCGGGATTCTTCAGATAGCATTGAGGAGTACACCACATCAGTCACTGGCTTTATCAATAATTGCATCGATGACGTCGTCCCCACAGTGACCGTACGTACATACCCCAACCAGAAGCCATGGATTACAGGCAACATCCACACTGAGCTAAAGGGTAGAGCTGCCGCTTTCAAGGAGCGGGACTCTAACCTGGACGCTTATAAGAAATCCCGCTATGCCCTCCAACGAACCATCAAACAGGCAAAGAGTCAATACAGGACAAAGATTGAATCGTACTACACCGGCTCTGACGCTCATCGGATGTGGCAGGGCTTGAAAACTATTACAGACTACAAAGGGAAGCACAGCCGCGAGCTGCCCAGTGAAACAAGACTTCCAGACGAGCTAAACCACTTCTATGCTCGCTTCGAGGCAAGCAACACTGAAGCATGCATTAGAGCACCAGCTGTTCCGGATGACTATGTGATCACGCTCGCCGTAGCCAATGTGAGTAAGATTTTTAAGCAGGTCAACATTCACAAGGCCGCAGGGCCAGACGGATTACCAGGACATGTACTCCGAGCATGTGCTGACCAACTGGCAAGTGTCTTCACTTACATTTTCAACATGTCCCTGACTGAGTCTGTAATACCAACATGTTTCAAGCAGACCACCATAGTCCCCGTGCACAAGGACACTAAGATAACCTGCCTAAATAACTACCGACCCGTAGCACTGATGTCTGTAGCCATGAAGTGCTTTGAAAGGCTGGTCATGGCTCACATCAACACCATTATCCCAGAAACCCTAGACCCACTCCAATTTGCATACCGCCCCAACAGATCCACAGATGATGCAATCTCTATTGCACTCCACACTGCCCTTTCCCACCTGGACAAGAGGAACACCTACAGTGAAGGAAAAAAGTATTTGATCCCCTGCTGATTTTGGACGTTTGCCCACTGACAAAGACATGATCTGTCTATCATTTTAATGGTAGGTTTATTTGAACAGTGAGAGACAGAATAACAATAAAACAATCCAGAAAAACGCATGTCAAAAATGTTATAAATTTATTTGCATTTTAATGAGGGAAATAAGTATTTGACCCCTCTGCAAAACATGACTTAGTACTTGGTGGAAAAACCCTTGTTGGCAATAACAGAGGTCAGACGTTTCTTGTAGTTGGCCACCAGGTTGCGCACATCTCAGGAGGGATTTTGTTCCACTCCTCTTTGCAGATCTTCTCCAAGTCATTAAGATTTTGAGGCTGACGTTTGGCAACTAACCTTCAGCTCCCTCCACAGATTTTCTATGGGATTAAGGTCTGGAGACTGGCTAGGCCACTCCAGGACCTTAATGGGCTTCTTCTTGAGCCACTCCTTTGTTGCCTTGGCCGTGTGTTTTGGGTCATTGTCATGCTGGAATACCCATCCACGACCCATTTTCAATGCCCTGGCTGAGGGAAGGAGGTTCTCACCCAAGATTTGACGGTACATGGCCCTGTCCATCGTCCCTTTGATGCGGTGAAGTTGTCCTGTCCCCTTAGCAGAAAAACACCCCCAAAGCATAATGTTTCCACCTCCATGTTTGACAGTGGGGATGGTGTTCTTGGGGTCATAGGCAGCATTCCTCCTCCTCCAAACACGGCGAGTTGAGTTGATGCCAAAGAGCTCGATTTTGGTCTCATCTGACCACAACACTTTCACCCAGTTCTCCTCTGAATCATTCAGATGTTCATTGGCAAACTTCAGACGGCCCTGTATATGTGCTTTCTTGAGCAGGGGGACCTTGCGGGCGCTGCAGGATTTCAGTCCTTCACGGCGTAGTGTGTTACCAATTGTTTTCTTGGTGACTATGGTCCCAGCTGCCTTGAGATCATTGACAAGATCCTCTCGTGTAATTCTGGGCTGATTCCTCACCGTTCTCATGATCATTGCAACACGAGGTGAGATCTTGCATGGAGCCCCAGGCCGAGGGAGATTGACAGTTATTTTGTGTTTCTTCCATTTGCAAATAATCGCACCAACTGTTGTCACCTTCTCACCAAGCTGCTTGGCGATGGTCTTGTAGACCATTCCAGCCTTGTGTAGGTCTACAATCTTGTCCCTGACATCCTTGGAGAGCTCTTTGGTCTTGGCCATGGTGGAGAGTTTGGAATCTGATTGATTGATAGCTTCTGTGGACAGGTGTCTTTTATACAGGTAACAAACTGAGATTAGGAGCACTCCCTTTAAGAGTGTGCTCCTAATCTCAGCTCGTTACCTGTATAAAAGACACCTGGGAGCCAGAAATCTTTCTGATTGAGAGGGGGTCAAATACTTATTTCCCTCATTAAAATGCTAATCAATTTATAACATTTTTGACCTGCATTTTTCTGGATTTTGTTGTTATTCTGTCTCTCACGGTTCAAATAATAGTTTATGAATAGTTATGCACGCTCAAGTTCTGTTTTTTTGTCTTATTTCTTGTTTGTTTTCACCCCAAAAAATATTGAGCATCTTCAAAGTGGTAGGCATGTTGTGTAAATCAAATGATACAAACCCCCCCAAAATCCATTTTAATTCCAGGTTGTAAGGCAACAAAATAGGGAGAATTCCAAGGGGGGTGAATACTTTCGCAAGCCACTGTACACGAGTGCTTTAAGGGTTGCTTTCTCCAAGTAAGACTCTCCAACAATATACATGTCTACTACTTACCGTAGATGAAAACAATGCCAAAATGTACATGTTATTGAGCCCTGTCATGAGTAACACATTGCACATTTTCATGACAGAGGTTCTCATTGCAGCTTTCACTAAATGTAACATACTTCACTGTTTTAAGTTGTTTTGAGTTATTTTTATTTGGTTTTCCCCATAGACGACAAGAGCTATTGTCACACAATATACGGCGGTTTAGTCACAAAGCACTGGTGCAGAAGTTTGTACTGGTTTTTCCAAACAGGGAAATCATACATAAAATACAGAGCAAAAAAGGATGAACAGAGGTTGAAAGAAAATAAGAACTTAAGCTGGACACCAAGACATTTTTCCTATATTAGTTTTGTCTTCGAAAATGTGGCAAGGACCAAGAGTTTTCCCTGACCATGTGACCTTCTAGCTTTTAACTATGGCCCAGAGTTATTCCTGGTTGTTGAAAAATGATAGTGACGATAATCATGACAATGTACAACCATTTTAACTTTAAAAAATTCATATGAATAAACAAAGAGATATTTAGACTTAACAACAATACATGTGATTCTCTTCTCTATAGTGCTCTACAGAAAACAGCCTTTTCTAATCTATTATAATGACTTTCCCCCTAAATATATACAACAGAAGTCTGACTTTACACAGAAATTTTATTTTAGGCTATTGTTTTATACCAGTCCTTTCCCCAAAATAAACCATTGAGAGTGGTAATTAGGTGATAACAACACTAGGTTTATTATTAACAACAGTATTAAATAAAGACACTACTCAACACATGATCATGCTGAGTACATCAGCACATGAGCATGCTGACACTACTTAGCATGCTGACATCTCCTCTATCACAGTGGTCCCCAATCCATTCCAGGGGGTCCACAGTTTTGTTTCAGCCCAGCACTAACATACCTGATTCAACTAATCAATGGCTTGGTGACTGGTTGAGCAATTGAACAGTAGAATCAGATGTGTTAGTGTTGAGCTAGAACAAAAATGTGCACCTCAAGAATAGATTGAGAAACACTGTTCTATCAGATCTGTACAGGAAACTCAAGGTAAACTGGATGACAGTTGTGTCGTGCAGGGATGGATGATGTCATGTTTAGAAGAGTCCAATGAGTGACAGGGATCCTATTTACCTAAGGGGGGCACTATTGGCTTGTCCTTATCCTTTACAGGTCCTGGTTGAATAAATGGGCATCTTGGGCACACATTGTCCAAACAGTGTCCATGGGTGGCAACCCAGCACAGCCCAATCCAGCTCTGCAAAGCCCAGCCAAGCCTGGCCTGGTCCAGTCCGGTTCAGTCCATCCCAGTCCAGTCTGGTCCATCCCAGCCTGACGCTGTCACTTTAAGAAGACCAGGTACAATGCCATCGACAGACAGGTTATCGCCACAGCATGGTGGAGTCTGGTCCCAATCACTGCAGCTGAGAGACAAAAGAGAGAGGGAGAGAAAGAGAGAGCGAAAGAGACCAAGGAAGATAGAAGGGGGAGAGAGAATGGGGGAGCAAGGGAGATAGAGATGGAGGGGAGGGATACAGAGAGGGGAGAGATTGACAGACAGAGGAAGACAGGGGGAAATAGAATGGGGTAATAAGGGAGAAATAAGACAGTAGATCAGAAGTAGGGGTAAGTAAGTGGACCTCTCTGCTTCAGACTATGATGAAACTGTAGCATAGCTCTTTGGCTGTAGTTAGTAACACAAACCCAGTATTTATGTCCCATTCTTCTATTACATAGATGGACATTATGGCTTGATTGATTGATGGCTTACCTTTATAGAACACCCCCCACACGCCCTTCTTCTCTGAGAGTAGCCAGCTGTTGAGACGAGGCACCTTCTTGAGGTATGCACACGTACAGATGAACAGAATCCCAAACACCACAACCCCATCCAACGAGTACACTGAGGGGAGGGGCAGAGGGGAGAAAAAAACACATAATTTGGTTTTAAGATGACATGGATGGTCGTTCAATTTTCGAAGAATAACTAACATTGCTTTGGATAGTTGAATATTTTATTGACAACAATAGATTGACAGATTGTATCTTGTTGTAGCTAGCACACAATCACTATTTGCGGTCTACAACAACCAGTTTGGCAGCTAGGCTACACCTGATACCTGTGTGATTAGCTAGCTAGATAGCTAGCTAGCTATGTCAATATCAATTACAAAAGCAGGGTTCCATAGATGGCTGTAGGAGCCAGTAATAGCTACATGATTTATAAACTGCCCACCAAACATGTCACAACATAGGTAGCTAGCTTGCTAAGTAGCTAACTAGTTACCAGATGGCCGTATTAGGTTGCAAATTGATGATGCACTTTTTCAGTTCATCAATCAAAATGTTAGCAAAATGATGTTGGCTAGCTACAGTACGGTCTGTAGCCACGTCTACAGAAATAGATGGTAGCTAGCTAGCAAAGTAGCTGGCACAATGCTAGGTAATGGAATCACAGAGGGATAGCTAGCTAGCTAAAGCTACAGTATCTCGCTAACGTCTGCTTCTTAACTTTGAAAACAGTGCATCTCCTGCAAGATGACTTATAAAACAACACACGTCACATCAAACTTACCATTTGTCATGTTTGCTGTTGTCCAAGACTGTGCTGAAGTCTCAGTTATTTTCAATGATCCATGTTGTTGTCAAATGTTGTCCTCCTTCCCTGTGATAGTCAGCAGCCAGAATGACCAATCAAGCGACAACTAATGGATGGGAAACAAATGACATATCCGGGTTTATCAGGACAGAGCAATGGAACTCAGATATTGTGAGAAACAAAGATAAACCAAAGATGGTTTAGAAACTCTGTTGACAAACTGTGTTAGTAATGTATTCTTCTTTTCTTTTCTTTTTTAAATCTTTGGTCTCCTCCACATTAAAGGGACAATTCACACCAAAATCAAAGTTTGTCAGGTGATCTTTGTCCCAGCCAATTGTGTATCAAGGAGAGATACAGTATATTGAAAAATATTGGAGGGTTGCTGGTGTGGTATGGTGAGCTTCACAGTGGAGTGTCTGTAAGAACACTAGGACCTCAGTTCTCAGTTTACCATTTATTAATTAAGAGTCTATTGTTGCACCCTTGCTTCAATCTAATTAACAGAATACAAAAATCCCCATACAAATCAGTCAGTTTAAGCTAGAGATATCTGTTTTTTTGCATGGGCTGCGTCTCAATCCACCTCATCCGCCTATGTCGGCCTTCCGCACATGCGGTGGACGGTTTGGCCTACTAACTAATATGACCACTCTATGGAAAGATGAGACGCTCACAAAGCCGCACGGGACTCGTCTGAAGGTAACCTGGTACTTAAAATAAAAAAATGAATGGAAGTACGGAGGTTAAATATGTGTTCAAAAAACTAAAATATTTCCTGATATCTCCTAGATATAGGACAGACACTTCAAAACCTTATTCCTTATGATACATTATTTTACTCTGTTTTTCCACTTATGAATGGAAAAACAATTCCATATGTTAGCTTAGTAGAACCCATAAAGATGCATGGATGGATGGATGGCTTTTAAGCAATAACGCATCCAGGTGAAACAGGGGATGGACTTCAGAATGTAAAGACTATAAACGATTTAACACATTCAACATGTCCAAACACTACATGCTTCCAGTCCATGAAGTTGCCACACTGATTGATTGGAAGTAGTGTTGTGCAGTTCGCAAACTATTTGTTATTTTCAAACTACTCTTTTTACTCATTCAAGAGTCGTGATTCGTTTTTCCGAGTGACTCATTCATTTTAGTCATTAGTTTGACCTTCTGGCTGCAATGAATTCTACAGCAGGATTAATATGCGCTCCCCCGGCTCAGTGGCTCAGGATACAGTACTTGCTCCGACCAACTGTCTATCATGTGCGCACAGAAAAATAGATAATACTGCAGGCAACATAGAGAAGAAAAATACATGTTTAGAACTGATAATTGATCGCATGGTGCAATTCATTGATTATTTAATGTTATCAATGGACACAGCTTTGTAGAACCGAAACATGGCCTACACAGCTCAACTCGAACTCTAGTAAGAATCGTTTGGGGGGCTGCTGCAGTTTACAAACAATATTGTGCTAATCTCCATGGCGGCAGTAACAATTGCATTCCGCCAAGAGTCATTCACAGTTTAGTCCGGTTGTGGCCGCAACTAGACCTTGTTTCAAACGTATCAATAAGTAATCGTATATGTAGGCTATGCCTAGCGATCAGACATGTACATTGTTTGAAGCACACTTTTATAAGTCTCATTCACAAATGACAGCTCCAATAAGCCCCGCCCCCTATGGTGAATGAGAGGCTTATAGAATTGTTTTTTTTAGTTCATCATTTGCTGGAAGGGGGTCCTGCATGCTCTGGGCATTACTGAATCAAATTAACGAAATGAGTCGAAAAATTGGTTATTTTGACTGAACGAGTTGAAAAGATCTGAGTCAGTAAAAAGAGCAAACTTCCCATCACTAATTGGAAGCACGTGAGCCTAATTAAGGTGTGCTGGGGAAGGACGTTAGCCTCGTACGAACCATCCTGATCTCGCAAGCTCACATTCTGTTTTGCTGTATCCGTGTAGCGAAATGGAATGTGAGCTAGCGAGATCAGGATAGATTGTATGAGGCTAGGAGGACGTACAGCCCCTGCAGGAACCTGGAAATGGGGGTGACTGGTAATTGGTGGAAATGTCAGTCAGGAAATGGGTGGAGGATTTTCTACATATTGTATATAAAGCTAAAGAAATAGGGTGTAATGAGTGTCTTTGATATAAATGTATATCATACATATGCTAATCGTTAGCTGTAACCTAATTAAACTAACAGCTAGGCCTATGATTACTGCAAGTAAAAAGTTATGCAGTAGGCTTGTCCAGATGGAAATTCGAAATATTGGGGAAACATCAAGATAGAGAGGCCATCATAACATCTGTGATATATGCACCCCCCTATCCACATCGACGGGACCGCAGTGGAGAAGGTAGAAAGCTTCCTTGCCGTACACATCACTGAGAAACTGAAATGGTCCACCCACACAGACAGTGTGTGAAGAAGGCGCAACAGAGCCTCTTCAACCTCAGGAGGCTGAAGAAATTTGGCTTGGCACCTAAAATCCTCACAAACTTTTACAGATGCACAATTGAGAGCATCCTGTCGGGCTGTAGCACCGCCCGCAACTGCAGGGCTTTCCAGAGGGTGGTGCGGTCTGCCAAACACATTACCAGGGGCAAACTACCCGCCCTCCAGGACACCTACAGCACCCGATGCCACAGGAAGGCCAAAAAGATCATCAAGGACATAAACCACCCGAGCAAATGCCTGTTCACCCCGCTATCATCCAGAAGGCGAGGTCAGTACAGGTGCATCAAAGCTGGGACCGAGAGACTGAAAAACAGCTTCTATCTCAAGGCCATCAGACTGTTAAATAGCCATCATTAGCACATTAGAGGCTGCTGCTGCCTATAGCCATAGACTAGAAATCACTGGCCACTTTAAAAAATGGAACACTAGTCACTTTAATAATGTTTACATATCTTGCATTACTCATCTCATATGTATATACTGTATTATATACTATTCTACTGTATCTTAGTCCATGCCACTCTGTCATTGCTAGTCCATATACAGCTGTGGAAAGAATTAAGAGACCACTGCAACATTTTCTTAAATCAGCATCTCTACATGTACGACAGCTATTCCATTCCAATATCTGTTGAATTCCAATACAGGCACACCTCATTCTACTGAATTAAGTAATGATTAGGTGATCACCTGAACCAAATCTTATTTAACGAGGAAAAATATAAAAACCACTGCTGTGGTCATCACTATCCTCTTGCAATAGGACCAGCTGGATGGCAAAAACAGTGCTAATAGTACCTCAAAAGTAATATTAATCAAAAAATAACTATTGACCATGCCTAAAGAGTTGAAAAGGAAAGTTTTGAGTGAAGAAAAGAAGGGTTCAATTCTGGCTTTACTGGCAGAGGGATACAGTGAGCGTCAGGTTGCTTCCATCCTTAAAATTTCAAAGACAGCGGTTCATAAGATTTGGGGACAACAAAGCTACAGACCGGCAGAGGGCGAAAACGACTCTCTACTGACCGGGATGACCGCCAACTCATTCGAATGTCACTCAACAACCGTAGGATGACATCAAGTGACCTACAAAAATAATGGCAAACGGCAGCTGGGGTGAAGTGCACGGCGAGGACGGTTCGAAACAGGTTCCTAGGGGCAGGGCTGAAGTCGTGCAAAGCAAGAAAAAAGCCCTTCATCAATGAGAAGCAAAGAAGAGCCAGGCTGAGGTTTGCAAAGACCATAAGGATTGGACCGTAGAGGACTGGAGTAAGGTCATCTTCTCTGATGAGTCCAATTTTCAGCTTTGCCCAACACCTGGTCGTCTAATGGTTAGACAGAGACCTGGAGAGGCCTACAAGCCACAGTGTCTCGCACCCACTGTGAAATTTGGTGGAGGATCGGTGATGATCAGGGGGTGCTTCAGCAAGGCTGGAATCAGGCAGATTTGTCTTTGTGAAGGCCACATGAATCAAGCCACGTACAAGGTTGTCCTGGAAGAAAACTTGCTTCCTTTTGTTCTGACATTGTTCCCCAAGTCTGAGGATTGTTTTTTCCAGCAGGACAATGCGCCATGCCACACAGCCAGGTCAATCAAGGTGTGGATGGAGGACCACCAGATCAAGACCCTGTCATGGCCAGCCCAATCTCCAGACCTGAACCCCATTGAAAACTTCTGGAATGTGATCAAGAGGAAGAAGGATGGTCACAAGCCATCAAACAAAGCCGAGCTGCTTGAATTTTTGCGCCAGGAGTGGCATAAAGTCACCCAACATCAATGTGAAAGACTGGTGGAGAGCATGCCAAGACGCATGAAAGCTGTGATTGAAAATCAGGGTTATTCCACCAAATATTGATTTATTAACTCTTCCTAAGTTAAAACATTAGTATTGTGTAGTTTAAAAATGAACATGAACTTATTTTCTTTGCATTATTCGAGGTCCGACAACACTTCATCTTTTTTGTTATTTTGACAAGTTGTCATTTTCTGCAAATAAATGCTCTAAATGACAATATTTTTATTTGGAATTTGAGAGAAATGTTGTCAGTAGTTTATAGAATAAAACAAATATGTTATTTTTACCCAAACACATACCTATTAATAGTAAAACCAGAGAAACTGATAATTTTGCAGTGGTCTCTTAATTTTTTGCACAGCTGTATGTACATATTCTTAATTCCATTCCTTACTTAGATTTGTGTGTATTGGGTATATGTTGTGAAATTGTTAGATATTACTTGTTAGATATTACTGCACTGCAGTGGCGGCTCCTGAAAAAATTCTCAGGAGGGGCAATTTTTCTGATGATTTAGGTGACCTACACACATTTTAAAAAAGATATGTCCAGCAACAACATGAAGACAGGGGCAGCATATAAGTCAATACCAGAAGCATTTATTGACTGATCTGGGGAGATGGATTCCAGTTTCTGTGACAGATTATAAATAATCTCTGATGCCTTTGTTATATTAGCTTTTGGTTGAATGTACTGTCGTAGTAAATATATAATGT